CGGGCCCTGCCGGTCCCGGTAGCCCCTCCCCGATCCCCTTAGCCCCTCCCCGGTCCCCCCTCCCCGGTCCCCGTAGCCCCCTCTGGTTCTGGGCGCTCGCTCCCGGGGCTCCCCCGGTTCTGGGTCGTTCCCCCCCGGTTCTGGGTCGTTCCCCCCCCCGCTCCCCGGGTCGGTGCTCACCGCTGGGCCCGGCTGTTCCTCGTCCCCGGTGCCTCGATGCCCCCCGGGGAAGCAGCTTGGCGGGGCCGGGGTTGCATCACGGTCCTGTCAAACCTGCCGGGCCAGCCCCATTGGGAAACGTCTCCCCCCCGGGGAACCACCGACGCCTCAGCGGGGCCCGGCCGCCTTCCCCCGGTCCGCCCCGGCCGGAGGCACTGCCCCTGGATCCCACCCGTGGATCCCACCCGTGGCCGGGGCCGTGGGGGGGGGGTGTGGGCATGGCTGCCCCTTGTGCCACCACGGCCTGCGCCCGCCGCTGCCCTCCACAATGTCGGCTATTGTGCCACAGCTCGGTGGCAGGACGCTTGGGGACAGGCAGAGAGTGTCCTGTGCCCGTCGTGCTGCTCCGGACTGTCACATCGGGGCCGTGTCCCAGAGCTGGGGGGGTCTGTGGGTCACCAGAGGGGCTGAGGGGACCCAGAGGGCCAGCAGCTGCTCCCCACGGCCGTGTGAGAAGCCTGAAGAGCCCTTTGCTGGCTGCGGTTGAGGTGAAACCTCTTGGGTTACAACTTGGGACTTCTGTGGTGTCTCCTGTGTCCCCTAATGACTGATTGTCCTCCCTCTGTCTTTCCACAGATTGCCTGGGGACTCCCATCGTCTACTCACCCGTCAAAGCCGACCTGACTGGAAATATCAAGGTGGGAAGGGGCACAGAAGGGTTTGGGGGGATGCTCCCCATGGCTGTGTGGGAAGCCTGAAGAGCCCTTTGCTGGCTGCGGTTGAGGTGAAACCTCTTGGGTTACAACTTGGGACTTCTGTGGTGTCTCCTGTGTCCCCTAATGACTAATTGTCCTCCCTCTGTCTTTCCACAGATTGCCTGGGGACTCCCATCGTCTACTCTCCTGTCAAAGCCGACCTGACTGGGAATATCAAGGTAGGAAGGGGCTCAGGAGGGTTTGAGGGGAAGGTGAACCCCGTGGAGGAGGCGCTGGGGGATTGGAGAGGCAAGACCTGGAGGTGTTTAAAAGGTGTTTCCTTCCCATGGGGGCTTTCAGGCTCGGCAGCGGCTCATTTCGGCCACGGGTGTTTAATTAACGGGGCTCCTTGATGAGAGTGCTGTTTGGCAGCCGCTGCGGGCACCGCGTTTCCCCTGCTCTGCCCGGCAGCTCCCGGGAGCCACTTCTCCCCACCACCACCATCACCATCACCACTACCTTTTCTCTGCTCTCTCAGAAAATCCGGGCAGTTTACGACTCCAACCCCGCCAGGTTCAAAACGCTGCAGAACATCCTGGAGGCGGAGAAGGAGATGCACGGCTCGGCCTGGCCCAAGACGGGCGCCACGCTGGCGCTGATGTGGTTGAAAAGGTGACTCAACGGCATCGGGGGGCTGCTCCTGGCAGGTGGGGACCCCCCTCGAACACCAGCTGGAGTCTCTTTGGGCTGGATCTGGCCAGAGCAACGTGGGGTGCACGAGCAGAAAGGCAGAGGGGCAGGAATTAGGCCTGTGAGGGGTTGTGCTGCTGGGGCTGGGGGCTTTGGGGGGCTGCTCCAGGCTGTGTTCCAGCACGTGGGGACTTCCTTGAACATTGGCTGGAGTCTCTTTGGGCTGGATCTGGCCAGAGCAACGTGGGGTGCACGAGCAGAAAGGCAGAGGAGCAGGAATTAGCCCTGCAAGGGGTTGTGCTGCTGGGGCTGGGGGTATTGGGGGGCTGCTTCTGGCACGTGGGGACCCCCTCGAACACCAGCTGGAGTCTCTTTGGGCTGGATCTGGCTGGAACAACGTGGGGTGCATGAGCAGGAAGGCAGAGGGGCAGGAATTAGCCCTGCAAGGGGTTGTGCTGCTGGGGCTGGGGGCTTTGGGGGGCTGCTCCGGGCTGTGTTCCACCATGTGGGGACCTCCTCGAACGCTGGCTGGAGTCTCTTTGGGCTGGATCTGGCCGGAGCAACGTGGGGTCCATGAGGAGGAATGCAGAGGGGCAGAAATTAACCCAAGGCTGGGGGTTTTGGGGGGCCCAGGCTCAAGGGGTGCCTTGCTGGAGGCTGGGAATCAGCATCCCCTTCCCCCCCACCCGACCATCTCTGCTCTTCTCACAGGGGCCTGAAGTTCATGCTGGTGTTGCTGCAGAGCATCTCGGATGGTGAACGGGACGAGGAGCACCCCAACCTCATCCGGGTGAACGCCCTGAAGGCTTACGAGATCGCCCTGAAGAAATACCACGGCTGGATGCTGCAGAAGCTCTTCATGGTGAGCCCCTTCCTCATCTTTTTCCCCGGAGGAAAAACAGCCTTTCTTTAAGCCCGGTTGGCCCCCCAAAATTGATGAGCTTTAAGGGAATGAAGGCTTGGAAACACGGGAAGCTGGTGATCTATTTGGAGCAGGGAGGCATAAATTTAATAAAAACTCACGGTAACCTCGGCGGCTGTTGTGGGGCTTGTTTCAGGGCTTGTTTCTTGGGGGAAATGTTTGGGGAAGGGTGTTTTGGGGCTTTTTTCGGGGGGAACTGTTTGGGAAAGGGTGTTTGGGGGCTTGTTTTGGGACTCTTCCTGGGAGAACTATATTTGGGAAGGGTGTTTTGGGGCTGTTCCTGGGGGAACTATATTCAGGAAGCGTGTTTTGGGGCTGTTCCTGGGAGAAATGTTTGGGGAAGGATGTTTTGGGGCTTTTGGGGCTTATTTGGGGGGGAAGTGTTTGGGGAAGGGTGTTTTGGGGCTTGTTTTGGGGCTGTTCCTGGGGGAACTGTATTTGGGAAGGGTGTTTTGGGGCTGTTCCTGGGGGAACTGTTTGGGGAAGGATGTTTTGGGGCTTGTTTTGGGACTGTTCCTGGGGGAACTGTTTGGGGAAGGGTGTTTTGGGGCTGTTCCTGGGGGAACTGTATTCGGGAAGGGTGTTTCGGGGCTGTTCCTGGGGGAACTGTATTTGGGAAGGGTGTTTTGGGGCTGTTCCTGGGGGAAGTGTTTGGGGAAGGGTGTTTTGGTGCTTGTTTCGGGGTTGTTCCTCGGGGGACTGCTCCAAAATTCCAGGGGATTCTCTCTGTGCATCCCTGTTTTTCTTGGGGTTCAACCACCATCCTCAAGGTTGTTCCTGGGCACCTCCGAGCGTCCGGAGACCCCGTCCGGGGTCTCCGGACGCTCGGAGGTACCCAGGAACAACCCAAAACTGGAGGTCCTGCATGTGGGATGGGATCCTTACATCTTCTTCCTGCTGTTTTTTAGGGCTCGGTCTACGCTCTCCCCTACAAATCGGATTTGCTGAAGGCGTTAGAGAAAGGCAAAGAAGTCAAAGAGGAGGAAAGCATCGAGAAGATCCATCAGTTTCTCTCCAGGGTCACCCCCATCTTGGATGCCATCTACGAGATGTACACCAAGATGAACGCCGAGCTGAGCTACAAAGCCTAAAAAGGCTCACGGCAGGGGACATTTAGCAGGGCTTAAATAAGGTGTGAAGGGTGCTACCTGTGTCTTAAATCAACTCAGGCAGTCATGGGGGGGGTTGCATCTCCCCGGCTGTCAGGCGACTTTAATTATTCTCCTCTGGATCTGCAGTGGAATAACCTGTTTTCTAAAAAAATAATAATAATTAATTTTTCTATTGAGAATACGGCAATAAAACAATCGTAGCCCGGTGTCGGCGTAGGATTGCCCAAGCTTTTCTACTACTAAAGAGGAAAAAAAATCAAGTGTTTTTAGTCCTAACGGCCGGGTCGATGTCTGCTACGTTATGGGGAGGGGGGATGAAGCGTGTCACTTTGTCCCGGTGTCACTTTGGGACTCATGGACAGCACCAAGGGGAGAAACATCCCGAATGATGCCGGCGGTGCCCGCGGCGGAGGATCCGATGCCTTTCCCTGGGTGACCCCCAAACTCCTCCCGCTTGAAGGGCTGGAGCTCGAGGTAATGGGGGGGGGACGGGGCTGGCCCCACGCCGTGGTTTGTGGAAGCAGGAGGTGCCTTATTAACCCCCCGCCTTAGGGTGCTGCCGAGCCCCCCGCCGCGGGGCAGGGAGGCAGAAATTTAATAAAAACTCACCGTAACCTCGGCCGCTGTTGTGGGGCTTGTTTCGGGGCTGTTCCTGGGGGAAATGTTTGGAGAAGGGTGTTTTGGGACTTGTTTTGGGGGGAACTGTTTGGGGAAGAGTGTTTTGGGGCTTGTTTTGGGACTGTTCCTGGAGGAACTATATTTGGGAAGGGTGTTTTGGGGCTGTTCCTGGGGGAACTATATTTGGGAAGGGTGTTTTGGGGCTGTTCCTGGGGGAACTATATTTGGGAAGGGCGTTTTGGGGCTTGGTTTGGGACTGTTCCTGGAGGAACTGTTTGGGGAAGGGTGTTTTGGGGCTTGTTTTGGGATGATTCCTGGAGGAACTGTTTGGGGAAGGGTGTTTTGGGGCTTGTTTCAAGGGGACTGTTTGGGGAAGGGTGTTTTGGGGCTTGTTTCGGGGCTGTTTCGGGGGGGACTGTTTGGGGAAGGGTGTTTTGGGGCTTGTTTTGGGACCATTCCTGGGAGAACTATATTTGGGAAGGGTGTTTTGGGGCTGTTCCTGGGGGAACTGTTTGGGGAAGGGTGTTTTGGGGCTTGTTTCAGGGGGAACTATATTTGGGAAGAGTGTTTTGGGGCTGTTCCTGGGGGAACTATATTTGGGAAGGGTGTTTTGGGGCTGTTCCTGGAGGAACTCTTTGGGGAAGGGTGTTTTGGGGCTTGTTTTGGGACTGTTCTTGGGAGAAATGCTTGGGGAAGGGTGTTTTGGAGCTTGTTTCAGGGCTGTTCCTGGGGGAACTGTATTTGAAGAGTGTTTTGGGGGTTGGTTTGGGGCTGTTCCTGGGTGCATGGGGATGTATTGAGGAGGGTGTTTCAGGGGTGGCTGTTTTGGGGAGGATGTTTCTGGGTTGTTC